GCATGGACGGCTTTGTCGTGTAGAAATGGGCAGGCGTGAATTAGGCATTCTGAACTTTGTCCTCCTTTGGGTTTGTCCTTGTGATCCAAAGGAACTCTCCCCAGCCAGTGGGGTTTCTGGCTGGAAACCACAAACCACACCACTGTCTGGCTGGAAACCACAAACCACAGGCCCAGAAAGTCATAGTCAGGGTCAGGACTGAACCGAGTCACTGCCATGCCCCAGAAAGTCATAGTCAGGACTGAACCGTTCTTTTTCTTTCTTTCTTTCTTTCTTTCTTTCTTTCTTTCTTTCTTTCTTTCTTTCTCTCTCTCTCTCTCTCTCTCTCTCTCTCTCTCTCTCTCTCTCTCCTCTCTCTCCCCCTCCTTCCTTCCTTTCTTTTTTTTTTATTTTATTCTATTTTTTGGCCCTTCCACCCCCTAAACTTGGTTCCTAGGGGTAGGGGACACACATCTCCCCCTTCTACTCCAGCTTCCCCACTCTTCCCCTTGCCTCAGATTTGAGTCTCTGCCAAGTGCAAGCAGCGGGCGACCTACTACAGAGCCTTGCAGTCAATGGGTAGTCCTTATTCTTCTGTGGGTGACCTTAGTTGAACTTCACACAGGTTGTTTTCTGCATAGGTGGCATTCGAGGAAAACAAACAAAAAACTCAGAATAAGAGCCATGCCCGGTGTCATTAACTAACGAGGTCCTTTGGCATCCTCTCCTCCCCAGTTTCCCTCCTGCCTCCCTCCAATTCTCTCCCTTCCTCTTGCTCCCCCTCTCCTCCACTCCATTCCAGTCTATTCCACTCACCACCCCCCCCCCCCCAGATTCTATACATACATACAGTATACATACATACATACATACATACATACATACATACATTCGTCCTACACCTGAGTATTAACCAAAGACTTGGAAACAATGAGGAGGAGACTCAAGAAGTAATGCCATTCAAAACTAAACATTAAGTCATTGTGTAAATGCTGTGAAAGGAAAAGTGGATAGGGTATGCCTGTAAATGGCATAGCTCTCCCTGCTCGCCTTGCCTTTTCAATGACAGCACCCACCCCATACCCACCCCCTTACTGTCATGGATGCTTTTCATGATCCCTGAGAGGAAGGAAATATCCCCTGTTGCTGAACCCTGGCTTTTCACACTGCAGATGACCCTCTTGGACAGATGCAGGAACTCTCTCCCTCCCAGTCCCAGAGAGGGTGTTTTGACCCACCCTTGATCTCTTTCTTGGTTTGTTTTCTTTCAATGGTGGTAAACACAGACCTCCTTTGAACCTTTGATAAGCCTACAGTTTACATTCACACTCCTTTAGCTTGATTTTTAATACAACTCCCGGGGTCAGGATCACGACTTTAGAGTCACGGTTGGTTCGCCCAATGAGAGGACTCCTCTGTGTGTGTGTGTGGGGGGGGGGGATTGCCCGCTTTGCTTTCTCCCGCCTCCCTAAAATGTCACCAGTGGATTTCATGTAACCCACGTACGGTCTCCTCCTGGGATTGGAGTGTATAAAATAAGGGGGGCGACATTGCCATTCTTTGGAACATCATCTCCCGCCGTTGAGATTGTGCTTCTTGGCGTACGAGCGACATTTCTGGACAGTTTGGCTGAAAGACACTCACAGAAATTCTTCACAGGTTGGAGGATTTCTTACGTTGTTGACAAATGCCACACACGCACACATGTGCGTGCACTTGGTTCACAGTTGCTACCTGTGGGGCTCTTTCAGGTTTGTCCATTTTCCTTCCTCTTTTTTCACAGGGAGGAAGGAGGCAGCGAGTGTAATCACCGGTGAGTGTGTGACATGAGACTGAGGATTTCCCGTGGAAAGCGGGTGAGCGGACGGGTGGGCAGAGGGAGGGAGGGAGGGAGGGAGGACACATCCATCCACCCACTCATCCATCCATCCATCCATCCATCCATCCATCCATCCATGGACGGAAATTAAAAGTTTAACAAACAAACAGTGATGGTGAGTAGTCACGACCTTCCCTGACAAAGGTCAATCTTTCTTTTTTATAGTAGTTTTTTTTTATTGATTTCAAAGATGGGGGGAAAGAGAGAGAGAGAGGGAGAGAGAGAGAGAGAGAGAGAGAGATCAATGATTAAAATTAATCATGGATCCACTGCTTCCTGCACACCCCCTCCTGGAAGGGGGGGGGGGCGTCGGGGATCCATCCCGCAACCCGTGCATGTGCCCTTGACCTGAATCGAACCTGGGACCCTTTAGTCTGCAGGCCGACGCTCTATCTCCCCTGAGCCAAACCGGCTAGGGTGTAATTTTCCTTTTTAAATCCCTTCATTTTTATTGAGTATATTGCTGACTGTTACCTATCCTATGCCAACCTAAGTAAGAGAAGTATGTGTCTGTCATTTTATTTTAATTTTTATCCAATCCCAGAGGTTTCCTGCCCCCCCCGACCCCCCCCCTCCCCCCCCGCTTTGCTTCTCTGGCCTCCCTCATCTATCACCAACGGAGTTCATGTAACCCACTTACATCTCCTCTTTTGCTTGACATGTATACAACAAGGTTAACACACACACACACACACACACACACACACACACACACCCACCATTATCTGCTTCCTGGCAATTGCCTCAAATGAACTCACAGACATTCTCCACAGATGTGAATCTTTTTTGATGTTCACACATCCATCCATCTATCCATCCATCCATCCATCCATCCATCCATCCATCCACGGGGAAGTTAAAGATGAATGATAAAAGGGTGTCTGTCGTGAGTGGCACACTTGGAACGGTGTGTGTGGTGGGGGATGGGGGTGGAGGGATGGATGATCAAAACCGGCAACTGGAGCAGAGTGTGCTGGCCCGTCTGGTGACCCAGGGTTATTGAGTCAAATCATCCCTCACCAGGGCCACCCTCATCGCTCCACTCCCACCTATGTCTCTCCTCCTAGGGGATCTAAGACGCCGAGATCTACTGTTGACCTTCGCCTTGGACCCTGGACTCACGCCCCTCAAACCCCTCCCTCTCGCTCCCCAACCCCCTCGCGGGATTCCCAAACGGGTGAGGGCTGGTTCCTGGGTTGGCCGATAGAGGGCACTCTTTCCCACCCGGACAGGCGGGGCCGGTTTCTCAAACAGCCTCCCTCCCTGAAGTTGGTGAGCTTGGAGAAGCCCGAGGCGAGGGAGGTCCGAGGCCCTGAGGTCACGGGAGAGCTTTCTGCATTTGAATGAAGCCCTAGAGTGAGATCCATTGGAATGAATCGCCCTGACCTCCTCCCCTCCCGCTTGCTCCATACCCCACCCCCTACTCCCCATCCCCCACCCCAGCTCCCTTCCTCTCAGCCCTCAGGTCAGGGGCTTCTGAGACTCTGGGCCTGGGGCGGGGAGGGGCGGGGGAGAGGGGAATCACGCAGGCAGGGGGAAAGCTTAGTTGCTTCCTGTGAGTGTATTTGAGCCCCAAGGTCCCTGTGGGCCCAGCGAAATCTGTGTCTGTGGGGCGACCCTCCTGCCTGCTAAGAGGTGCTCACGTTCCACCCTGGCCGGTCATTTCCCTGCCCCATCTGGGAGCTGGGCTCTCCTGCCCTGGTTCTGCACACAGGTGTGCGCCCGGCTCTCCACTCTCCACACAGCCTGGTTCCCAGGACCTGCGGTGAATCACTCAGACCCCCGCTCCCGAGGCCAGTCCTTTCCTCTCAGCCCCACAGCTGCCCTTGGTCAGCCCTGGGTGACCAAGCCCTCATTACCTCTGAGTGGCTGGCTACACGTGGCCCTCTTGCCTGCTGGGGGCCACTGAGCAAAAGGCTTTTATCCTCAGCTCCGAGCTGCCTTTCGGCGGACACCACTTCAGTCCGGGGCTGAAGCTCTCAGTGGACAGACAGGCTGAGGCGGCCGAGCCAGGGCAGGATCCAGGCAGGGATGGGATCCCCAGGTCAGGTCCCCTTTGTCCAGCCCACCTGTGTTCTGTCCAGGTCCTGGGAGATGGCACTGCCCCACATGGGGGAGTGGCAGCTTGTCACAGCAGCCAGGCTTGCGGTGGACTCAGAACCAGCTCAGGAGGTGCGGCATGCTCCTAGTGCCCTGGTAAACCAGTTCTCCGGGCAGGGAGAGTCCTTGAATGTAGCATCTGGGTAATTTCTGTGGTGTAAATACTCCCACCATGGCCCATTCCAGGCTCCCATGGTGACTGCCGGTTAATGCACTGAGCTCAGAGTTGGGGAGACAAGCACAGTCTGCTCCCCCCAGCACACCTTGTGCCTCTTCCTACCTACCTCCCCTCACCCCCAACCACACTGCCATGCCTTCCATGGGGCTGAAATGCTCAAGTCCCAGCCGTCCCTGCTCACAAAAACCTCCGCAGGTAGGGGATTTCACTGCTAGCCAGCGGCCTTGGCCTTGAAGCTCTTGGGATCCTCAGCAATAATTTACATCCCCCCCCCCCCCCCCCGCCAAAAAAAAATGATAAGGATAACCAGGAAGCTGGTCGTGCCCACAAGTGCCTGGAAAGATGGGGGCGGGCCCCTAACATTCCAAAACAGGTCTAGCTGCAGGCAAGGTGGGTAGCATTCAACTCAGGGGTGCCAGGAACTGGCCAAACCTCTCCCTCGTCCGCTTTCTAGTGGCGGGTGGGGGGTGGTGGTGGTGGTGGTGGTGGTGGTGGTGGTGGTGTGGGCTAGGTTGCCAAAGAAGATTGGCCTTTTTTTTTTCTTGGATGGGGGGACCCCCTGAGACTAATTTCTCCCAAGTGTTGGTGAGTATGTACCCCCAAAAAGGGGACTCTCAAGGTACCGCGGCCCGGTTCCCCATCTACGGAGACACATGGGTAGCGAGCCGAGCTGAGAGTGAGAGGCGTCTCTGCCAGCCTCTGGGGCTGCTTGGGGCCATTCTGAGCGGGGCGGGTCCCCCATGAATCGGGTCGCTCGGGCTCTGTTGTGGAAGTTCATCACGGAGAAAGGACTGTTGGCAAACAGACATACGTTTAGTCCATCTCCAGATGAGATTCCTCTCGGGATGTTCCCTTTTTAAAAAT